CGATCGGAAGGAGCGGCGCTCGGACAACTAGGGCAGCGCTCGGTAAGAGGATTGCGGGAGAGAAAGGCCGTGATCGAGCCTAATGGGAGAGTCTTCTCCTCTTTTGTGTTCCTGGTACCATGGGGATTTTGAATAACTTTCTTCTCAATGAATACATAGATAATTCACCTATAAATAGGCGTGTACAAGAGATAAAACGAGGAAAGAAATCTTCCTACAACTAAGTAATTCCTATAATTATGGAATAAACATAAATACATATAATTAAGAATTACTTCCTTTTATACTATGACTAAATATAGCAAGTACTAAATAGAATTAAAGTAAATAATAATGAGCGTAATTCCACATACCATATAATAACATTTTTGGTAATCAAACATTTAGCCAATCGGTCATAAAGAAGCAACCTAATCATTGCTCTGAGTGATACAAAAATGATTTAGGGCCAAGATTTTCTAAGGTAGATCAAAGTCTAATGATGCAATAACTTTGCATAAGAATAAATTTCAACAAGCAATCGTAGTTAGCAACGAAGCCATATAACACCACAGTTATTTACTATTAGATTCTTCTCCTGCAGACCAGAACTCTCTATATATATATATTTTATTTTATATATATATTATTTTATTTTTTATTTTTTATTTTTTTTATTTTTTTGAGAAAGCCCAAAAGCTAATATATTCAAAAGGAAATAGAGATAAATATAGATTGTGTGGAATGGCCCAAGCATGACACCCTTCCACAAATGGTTCCAAAAAAAGATAAAATATAGAAAATTACAAAAAAAAAAAAATTACAAAAAACCCAAAAAAAAAAAAATGCCAAAAAAACGTAGTATCAGGCAGCTAGAGAGTGACCCAATTTTGTTTTTCCTCTGCATTGCCTCTGCCTCTAGTTCTAGGAAAGAAGTCAGCTAATAAATTGGTAAGATAAGTGTCATTATCAATAGTGACCAAAATATCATCTAATAAATTTCCAAGCTCGAGTCGACCTCCAGTCTTCTTCTTCCTCTTGAAATAGATCTATCATTCCTCATCCGAAGATTGGCTCGTATGATCAGTGGATTGGTCTAAAGTGTGTCGGACATGTGTAAGATGTTGAACATTAGAAATAACTGCTTGTTGTACCAGCTGATCTTTGATTGCATCAAAGAAGCACTCTCGTGTGTATTGCATGTAAGTGAGTCTTCTTCAATAATAGTGAGTGATATAAGCACTTTTGAATATGTACCTGTAGTATGATGTTCTACATCAGGAACTGCGATGTTAGGTAGAGGTAGAAGATCGGTTTGCACTTTCTCAGCAAGGATGGTAGATGGCTGATCTTTAGCGATATTCAAAACTTGTCATGTGGTAGTTTTCTCTCCAGATGGAACAGATATGTCCGGAGTAGTGGAATTAGATCCATCCTTATTCACTTGATCTTTAGATTTCAAATTAGGATGAAACATAATGGCATTTATCAAGTGTATGCACAAACATCTTACAATGAGACAGTAAGGCGGCCTATGCTCCATGCCGATTTGTTGCCAATATCCATTATGAGTTGTGTCCAACCAGACTTCAGTAACATCAGGTAAAGTAATATCTCTTTCCACAAGTATTCTGGCCACAGAAATTATGGTAATGTTGAAATTCGGTAGATCTAGCTTCATAGGATCCCTAAGTATGGCCCCAATAGAATAAAAAACCTGATGATGAAAAAAGTACAGCTTGTGACTTGGTAGACTGAATCATACCCGTACAGTAGGAGGTTCATGATTGGGGTCAAAAATTAGGAGACCACTTAAGTAGCTTGATTGATTTACCAACAATGATGAGGTATTTTTTTGGAGAAAATTCGAGTGTAGTCTTCAGTCATGGTTAATTTAATCAATACATATCTCTCATCCATGAGCCTCACTTTCCACTTTCCTGCTAATTTGAGATCATCAAAACTTTTCCTGATAACTTCCATAAGTGGGTGCTCCCACTAAAATTTTTCAATAAGAGCAAACTTGAATTTGCCAATCAGGGTTGAAATTTCTAACTCCTAGAAAAAGAGTATTGCTTTCACACTTTGTCTGCTTACATTCTTAATAAATGAGCAGACACATGTACTATCACGATATTCCTTATAACTTGAGGTCAAGACAACCGCCGTCTCCACCTGAAGATTACCCACCACGTGGGCAAAAGGAGACTTTGTCAAGTTCAACCGAATAAGAAGGAAACTCCATCACAACAATTAGAAGTCCCATCACAACAATTAGAAGCCCTGCCAAGTCGGTCAGAGCGCAGGAATGACGAGTCGAAGACGGTCACGAACCGATGAGACCAAACACTCGGTGTTGTCGAGCTGAGTCGGAAGAAGACGAAGGAGGAAGACGAGCACGCGACCCCTTTCCGTCTTCCGTGAGATATGAATCGGCGAAATCGAACAGAGACAACTCTGTTGGCTTCGAATGTCGCAGATGCGAGCCGCAGTCGACATAGAAGCAGCGCGGGCCGACGACGACGGAGAGGATGGAGAACAGAGAGGACGAAGAGACGACGCCGAAGATCTCAACAATTAGCCCACTTCTTAAGGAGCACAACCACTCCATAAAAAGAGCCTTTCACAATAATTTAATACATCACTGATGTATTATGTTATATGTTTATTCTCATAGAGAGTAAAACTAAAAAAGAAAGAAATATCATTTCTGAAGCCATAATTTGGCCACTTCTCCTTCCCCTAATCTCCAACCATTAGCCCACTTCTTAAAGAGCACAACCACTCCATAAAAAGAGCCTTCTCACAATTAGCGATTTATACTATCCTCTTCTTACATATCTCTCTCTCCCTAATCCTTCCAATTTCCCTTAGAGGATTACAGTGAAAGAAAAGATTTCTACAAAAGTGAAAAATGGTTTCAAGAATATTTAACAACGAGTAAGGGGCAGTTTGGTTTGTTGAGAAAAAAATGCGTTGTGATTAAAATGTAGTATATTTAGAATATTTTAGAGTTATTTAGTTTAATGTAAAATAAATGATATCAATGTAAACATAGTTGGTGGCAGCACAAATGGACAAGGATGGCAAAGGCTGGAGAAGCGAGCCGACAACTATGGCAGACAACGGCCAACAGTGACAAGCACCGGCCTATGGATGTCAGATTTATCATTTGCAGTGTATTTGAAAATCACCTAAATCTATCAAATTTAGAATGCACCAGTTTTAAACTTAGGTTGAATTTCAAATTCAATATAATTTTACACTACATTCCATTTTCAACCAACCAAATATCAAAATTCCAAAGACCCCTACATTATATTTACTTTGCACTACAAATTCTTTCTACCAAACAGCCTCTGGATGAAATACATTGTGAGTGTGAGTGGAGTGAGACTGTAAACAAGCCGAGCTTGAGCAAGCTCGGGCTTGGCTCGTGAACTGTGTGTTTGTATTCGGCTAGATTTAACTATTCTTGTTCGTGTTTAGCTAGAAATTGACTCGTTAAAATTATTTGAAAAAAATAGATGTAGGGTATTTGATTCGAACGTACACCAACTCTGTGCAATAGAAGGCGCAAAACCGCATAACCACACGAGCAGTTATGATTTAAACTTAATTATAAATATATTTAATTTATTATTATATAAATAATATATATAATTTCTTTATTTCGAGCTAAAAGGAGCCGAACACGAGCGAACAAGAGGTTGTTCGTGTTCGGCTCATTTATAATTCGAGCATAAAAAATTTGTTTGAGTTCGACTCATTTACTTAAGGAGCAAACAGAACACGAGTTACTTAACGAGTTGTTCGCGAACAACAAGCTTTATTGATAGCCCTAGAGTGGAGGAAATAATCTATATCCAATATATATATATATATATATATATATATATAGGCAT